AACATTCAGAATGTGGAGAAGCTTCAAACACAAATAGGAACAGAGTTATTTAATTACCAGAGTGCTGGCATGAGGACCCAACCTTTTCCTTCGAACAATCACATCTGGTTAAAAAAACGAAAATCTCAACCACTAAAAATCAATGCAAATTATTCTAAGAAAATACAGTAAATAAAATTATTTATTGATAAAATTTGCTGCTGAAGACTGAATTTTTGTTTCTCCCAAATGCTTGTGTTGCAACTCTAAGCCCAACGTGATGGTGTTAAGAGGTATAAATGTTTCCAAGTTCTTATCCAGGTTACTACAAATTGTGGTGAACACAAATACCTTTATGGGAATTCCTGCATCAAATAATTATTTATTTTTAGGACATTTTGATTTTTTGTAGATGATTTTATTCTACCTTTCTAGGCCTTTCTTGTGGACAATCGCATGAATCTAATCACGAGACTCAGTGACTTGAAACTCATTCTTGCAGGGGCTGCCAGAATTAAAGTGCATTTCTGCTGCAGCCATCGGACACTCAGATTCCCACAGGGACACCTTGGTTTTGCTTCCTGCTTGGCTTTGGCCTTATCCTTGTGCTGACCTGAGAGATTTTGTATCTTTCAACTCCCCAGGTCATCCTAGAGCCACATGGACCTGGGAATTGTCAGCCTGGCAGGAAGGGTTGACTGAATGTGACATTCTCTGTTTTTCTGGGGGAGCCAACACCAGCAGGCATCACAGTCCTGAGTCAGCCTGTGCCCTTCCAGTGTCCCTGTTTCCCCTGCAGGTGAGATGCTGATCCATGCATCTTATTCCCATTCCTGGAAGAGGTCTCTTCACTGTTCCCCAGATGTTCCTTCAGCAGCCACTGTGTCTTCCCACTGATTTCTTCAGTTTCCTCTGTGCTACCTTTTCCTTTAGAATAAAGCTGTTGTTCCTCAGGGAAGATGGGGGTGGGTGTGGAAACAGCCTTGGTGCATTCCTCTCTCCCCTCCTAGTTCTTATTGCTCTCTCCGGTGTCTCTGGAACAGTGGTTTTGGTGCTTCACCTCCTCTGATAATTTCTCTAGCAATGTAGTGGTGACAGAGAGTGTGGTGGATGCATTTCAGCTGTAGTTGCTGTTTTGTTTTCCCAGACAGAACTCCCATTTTCTGATCTTTCCCCAGTACTGAGGAAAAAGACTTCAGTAGCAGGAGGAATTCCTCAACTGTATATAGTCTGAGAATTTAAAGAATAATTCACCTATCACACTCAAATTTAGACCACCCAATGAACATGTCTACTTTAATCTTGTATTACCTTAAATGACATTTGGCAGCCTCTGCCCCAGATACGATTATTCTCTGCTCCTGTTTTTTTCCCTCCAAGTCCTCATCTCTCTTCAGATTTCAGACATCTTGTTTGTCCTGTAACATAAACATCTGGTACATTTAAGAAAATGGGCTAATTTGCAGATGACTAAAGTTGGTAGATGTTGTAAGAATAATAACATATTTTTATAGGATGCATCTCCAAGCGAGTAGCACATTTACGTGTAATACTCAGAAACTGGAAAACACACAAATATCAAGAAGATACACAGATAAACAGTAATAACATGCTAATTTGCTCCAATAACATCCATCATTAGAATAGACACACTGTTGAGGGTCAACATTGTTGTATCACAAGATGAGTGAGAAGCCACCCAGATAAAACACATACTATATAATTTCTGTATAATAAATTTTTAAAATCAAAACTAAAGTAATACATATGAAATACTGATTCAGAATATGGTGAGGGAAGAAAGTAATTGGGTAGGAGGAATTGCAGAGGAGCACGAGGAAATTTTTAAGTGTGTTTGTTTGTTCATTATCTGGATGGTTCTGGTGGATGCCCAGGTGAGAACCAGTGGAATCACGTTCCATTTTGTTTGTTTTTCTCCTTAGACATGTGGTCTCACTCTCCGACCCAGGCTGGACTGCAGTGGTGGAATCATAGATCAGTGGAGCCTCCAAATCCCAACAATCCTCCTGCATCTGCCATCTCAGTAGCTGAAACTACAGGTTTGTGCCACCGAGCTCGGCTTGCGTACTTACTAAACAGCACGCTTTATGCAATATTTACGTACAGCAACAATGTCTCAAGAAGAGTGTCACAAACAAATGGATAATTAGTTCAGTATGGCTTGATGGAAAAATAGACATTAACATGAAGAAAGTCTGACATGTATGAAAATACACCTGCATAAAACGTGCTTTTCTTTACACTCATTTTGTAAACACAATAGTGCACACACATCACACTACACTTTCATTACGAGAAGAAAGTTCTGAAAATGTCACTAGGGGTGCCCCACCGTGTGCTGGGCCTGGCTAAGGGAGCAGTCGGGCCCAGTGGTGAGAAACACAGGCACAGATACCCGGGCTGACCCTGACCGCATGTGATTTCCGGTAACACTGTACCCGCCATCTGTGCTTCTGCTGGTAATTTACATCTGTAATGTGGAATAACATTGATACTACTACACAGCATGATGAGACGACTGGTGCTAGCTAGGTTTCATATATGCAGTTTTCATAGGTCCATTGCAACACAATAAACTATATTTAAATTAAAAATGCAAATACAGTTATAGTTTTAAAGAATGTATCACAGAACAAAGTATTAATAAGAAACTACATTTTCCAAAATTTTATTAATATCTCCAAACCCCCTCAGGACACTCTCACCTGCTCTGGGCCCTGCCCTCTCCTCAGGCGTCCCACCCTAGAACTTGCTATAGAGCAGGAGACATGCAAATAGGGCCCTCCCTCTGCTGATGAAAAGCAGCCCAGCCCTGACCCTGCAGCTCTGGGAGAGGAGCCCCAGCCCCAGGATTCACAGGTGTTTCCACTGAGTTTTCAGGGCTGAAAAAGGAAACTCGCCATGGAGTTTGGGCTTTGCTGGGTTTTCCTTGTTGCTATTTTAGAAGGTAATTCATGGAAAACTAGAGAGACTGAGTGTGTGCGGACATAAGTGAGAGAAACAGTGGATGTGGGTGGCAGTTTCTGACCAGGATGTCTCTGTGTTTGCAGGTGTCCAGTGTGAGGTGCAGCTGGTGGAGTCTGGGGGAGGCTTGGTTCAGCCTGGGGGGTCCCTGAGACTCTCCTGTGCAGCTTCTGGATTCACGTTCAGTGACTATGGCATGAACTGGTTTCGCCAGGCTCCGAGTAAGGGACTTGAGTGGGTCTCATACATTAGATATGATGGTGGTAGCACAAACTACGCAGACTCCGTGAAGGGCCGATTCACCACCTCCAGAGACAATGCCAAGAACTCGCTGTATCTGCAGATGAACAGCCTGAGAGCCGAGGACACGGCCGTGTATTACTGTGCGGGACAGAGTGAGGGGAAGTCAGTGTGAGCCCGGACACAAACCTCCTGCAGGGGTGCCTGGAACCAGCAGGGGGCGATCGGGATACACAGAGGACGGGGCAGCCCAGGGCAGGTGCAGGTGGAAGTCAAGGGCTGCTCTCTTTCAGGGCTTGTTGCTTCCTCTGCATCTAACGTTCCCTGGGAGGGTCTGTGTATTTACAGTTATGTCCCTGCTACTGAGGCTTCTACGTTTGTGAAGTTTATAACTGTAGGAGCAGCCATGACCAAATGCCCCAAGGCAGGTGCCACTGAGGGAGAAAGAAAAGTGTGCAGGAGGCCGGGTGAGGCTGTGGACACTGTCCGCTCAGGATTCAAGTTTCACAAGCAGTGAATGAAAAATGGGGAGTTCGATGGGGCTCCCTAACTACCACGAGGTCCACACTAAGTCCAGTACGGCCAGCAGGCCCCCTGAGCTATAGGTACCCATCAGGGATTGGCCGTGTGCCCCGCAGCCACCGCACCTTTTCATCCCCACTGTGCTCAGTCACTGTCTGCCAGGAGCTCCCAGGACGTGTGTGTTTGGCTCAAACCCGGTGATGGACGTCAGAGAGCAGCAGCTGGTGCCGGGTTATGGGCTCCTAACGTTGGAGGAACAGTGACAGGACTCTGTTTATGGATTTTTATCTAGAAACCACGAATTTTCTTGCTTCTCTCAGGGGACGTAGAGAAGCAGGCACGCAGTCGGCAAATAATGACAATCTCTACAATGACCCCAAATGGGTTCCTCCTTAATTCTGTGCAGGATCCAATCGTCGAGTCGCATTTCTCATGAGGAATTGTTGCATCTACAGTGAGTCCACATGTTTCTCATATTCTTGGTTTTTGTCCATGTACAGAGACTTAGAGTAGAGTAAGTTTGGACCTTTCCACACACTAAGTCTCACGTCCCCACAGAAAGAGCAGAGTCTTTCACTATCCCTGAGTCTGGGGTAGGGGCTGGTCCTGCACACTCAGAGCCTGCAGAGACCGCCAAGTCAGGTTTATAGACTCAGGTGTTTCCTCCTTCAGGAGGGGTGACCTCCACTGCCTCTGATTTCTGCTGAAGATTAACTGTGATTTCAGAGTTAACATGCTATTACTTCTATTCTGAAAATAACCATCTTTATACTAAAAGAAATAGTTCAATGTTCATTCCTCTGAAAAAAGTTTTTAAAAACTTGATTGCAAGTATACAATATATGTGCCTGAATTTATTCCCCAAATCTACTGAATTGTCTAGAAATCTCACAAGTTGAACAACAGTAAATTCTTCATTCTTTCCAAAACCTGTGTATGTAGGAACTTCAGTGTATTGTCCAGAACTCATGCACACTGACCACTGTGGGTCATGGTCATTTACTGGCCTGGTGCGGCCTCCCAGGCCCCTCCCTCACCTGTGCTGTCTCTGGATTCTCCATCACAACCAGCACTTCCTGCTGGAGCTGGATTCGCCTGTCCTCAGGCAAGGGAGTGGATCGGGGCATAGGTCACGAGGGAGCACATGTTCTAACCCCCTCCTCACAAGCTCAGTCACCATCTCAAGATGCACGTCCAAAAAACAAATGTTCTTGCCACTGAGCTCTGTCAGCCTGTATTACTGTGAGGAACACATAGAAGACGAGAGTGTGACCCCAGACACAAACTTCCCTGGAGAGGGGCCCAGGACCACCAAGGGCACTCGGGCTCCATGAAGACAGGGCCCAAGCTGGAGAATGGGTTTTCTGTCACCCTCCCATTTCACCATTAGATACAATACACTAGGGCTATGCTGAGTTGTAATATGCATAGTACAACTAGAAAATGGAATTTATATAGATGTATAATCATACTTAGTGTAGCAATTTTTTTTTCCACCTTATGTGACCCTTAAAGATGGCATCTCCCACCTTATTCAAGGACCTTATAAATTATAATACTTTATGTCAGATGTGCCTCCTTTTTTGTGTTTCTCCTATCTGTATTTTCTTTCTCCCTCTCTTTCCCTCTCTCTCTTTCTCTCTCTCTGCCTCTCTCTCTCGCTCTCTCTCTCTCGCTCTCTCTGTCTCTCTCTCTCTCTCACACACACACACACACACACACACACACACACACACCACACACACAGTGGTTGGCAGTATATAGGCTGGTTAGGAATATTTTTCCATATGATTTTAAATTGTAATGTTACATTATTTGCCTTTAATTTTTCAAAAATTTAAATCCAAATATCATTGTTTTTAATGTAATTTTTAAAAATTTATATTTGTTTCATCAATCCTTCTATGTGTACTTTTGTATTCTTTCATATTATCAGGTGCTTGCACATAATTAAATATGTCCAACTGTTTACTTGAATTTACGTGAATCAGATCTGGTGAGAAAAATTAAGGAGCCACTGTCCTGATCCTCCCCCACAGCTGCAGGTTCCTGAAGACAGAGCAGGTCCCATGACCTCGCAGAAGACCACGGCCCCCAAAGGTGACCTTGGACCTTGAGTTCCAGCACATCCTGGGAAGCCAAGTGGATGTTTGTGAAAGAAATAGTGGCTATGTGACAGTTTTGAACCAGAATGCCTCTAGTGTGAGATGCAGCTTACAGAGCTTGGGGGGGTACAGCTTAGAGGGGCCCCTGAGTCTCTCCTGTGCAGCCTCTTGATTCACCTGTAGGTATGAGAGTCACTGGGTTTACCAGGCCTCAGGGAAGGGCTGGAGTTGGTCGCAGTTACAAGGGGTGGGAAAAGTCATCAATATGAAGCCGACTATGTTAGGGGCAGACTCACCATTTCCAGAGACAACACCCAGTTCATGCTGTACATGCAAATGAGCAGCCTGAGAACCAAGAACACAGCAGTGGATAACTGTGCAGGAGACATGGTGATGGGACGTCCAGACAGTCCCGCAGGACACAGGAGGCAGCTTGGCTGCAGGGGGCGCTCAGCACCCACAGAAGACAGGAGCAGCCCAGGGGCAGGGGCAGGGGCAGGGGCAAGTAAACTCCAAGGGCTGCTTTCCTGTCAGGGTCTGTGGTTCTGCATCAAAAGCATTCTCCTGGGAGCCGCTCTGTATTTATGGTTCTCTGACTACCACTGAGGCCTCTGGATTACTAGAAAATATAAAATAAAACATTCTCGGATGCCCCTAAGGACCGCATCACTAATGGAGGCAGAAGATGTCACAGGAGGCTGAGGGGCTGTGGAAACTGTGGGATGTGGGTGCAGAACTGATGACAGAGACATAAACATCAGAGGAGTCTGATAAAACCTCCTAATTACCTGTGATCCACTCTAAGTCCAGTAAAGCCGCTGATGCCTCCCTGAGCCAAACCTGCCCATCAGGGGTCAGTCCCGGGTCCCAGCAGCTGACGCACCGCAGTGTCTCCACTGTGTGTAGTCACTGCTGGAGGAACTCCCGGGACACGTGTCTTTGCATTTACCAGGTTGTGGGTGTCACAGATCAACTCTGGGCGCCTGGTCTGTGGGTTCCCTGATGGTGGAGAAGCGGGAGGTGCAACACACTGTCCATGCATTTTTATATGGAAACCATGATGTTTCTTGCTTCTCTCAGATGACACAGAGGAGCAAGAAGTGCAGTGTCCACATTTCTCCTGAGTAACTGCGTTATGTCTGAGTCTGAGTGTGGGTTCAGCAGAGCATGGGCTTTCTCTTAAGAAACTGCTCAATCCCAGCTGAAGCCACGTGGTTCTCACTCCTTAATTTTCGTTCAGCTTCAGAGATCCTGAGTAGAGCAAATCTGGTCCTTTCCACACGCTAAACCTCACCTTCCTCAGATAGAAAGCAGAGATTTTTCCAACTGTGTCTGAGGTGGGAGCTGCTTCTTCACACCTTAGAGCTTGCAGAGACCCCCAAGGGCAGCTTTATGGAGTCAGGTGTGTCTCCATGTGGGGGAGCTCAGCTGCCAGTGATTCTGCTCAGTTAGAACTGTGGGTTCAGAATTAGAACATTTAAATTATCACGCCTCAAAAATAACCGTCATTATAGATAGAAATAATAATATGACACCAATTGTCACATTTATTATTATTATTGGAGTTTACCTTGGAGGAAAATACTGCTACCATACATAAATCTAGTGTCAGAATCTCCTGAAATGGTCTAGAACACTTGCAAACTGCATAGAAGCAGATTCTTCTTTTTTCTATGCTGCTGCGTTTTAAATTGTTGATAGTGTGTCCAGAACCCATGAGCACCAACACTGTGTGTTTCATGCCCCTTCTTGGGTTCTGTGACGAGGAATTCCATTAGGACCTGGCAGACTGAGACAACTTTAAACAATGTCAGAGCAATCATCTGTAACTGCTTCTAAATTTCAGCTTTATCAATTCTAACGCTTTCTCCATTATTTCAGATCTTCATTATTAAAGGATTCTCGCTTTTTCTCTTACTCTAGATAAGAATTTGTCTGGGTTTTTTTTTTTAAACTTTAGATTTGTTGATTTTTCTGTAGTCTTATAAAGTCTCTTTTTAGCTTATTACATTTACTCTAAAGCCTCATAAGCACATTGACTACATGCAGATAGAGAACTTCTTTGTAAATGCCATATTTTTGTTAGACTCAGAGCATGTCAGGAAGCCCCCTGAGGGTTCTAGGGACTGAGCGTGACTCCCACACTACACAAGGATGAGAACCTCCAAGCTTTGGGGATGGGAGACAGGCCGGGAAGTGTGAAGGAGGAGGGTGGCCGGCAGGTCCAGCGTTTCTTCCCCTGGTGACACCACTTATGTCCGTCCTCACTCTGAGATGCAGTCATTTCTGTCCAGGTGGGAACATCAGTTAACTTCATCTCTGATAGATGGATGGGAGCCCAAGACAGAGGCTTGTCAGTCGCTGTTTCTGTGCCTGCTCCCTTGGGAATGTCCACATTTCTTATGCTCTGTCCTGGGCCTATACCCCGATGGCTCCCCTGCTCCATGACACCACCTGTTCCTGTGCATGGCCCCTGCCCACACCCTCCGTGAAACATCCTCTTAGCTCAGGAAGAGTCCCCTGCCTTGTTTTTTCCTGCCACTGGCCC